TTTGCTGAAATAGAACTATTCCTCTAGAATAATTAGATCTAAAAATATAATCCAATCGCAAAATATTTACTAACTTCTGCAGAGCTGCAATGTAAGAGTATGAAAAAAGATTTTTGAAAAAAATTTTTAATGAAATTATTGTGATCATTCCTAACATATACACTCACATACAAAAAAAAACAAGCCACTAAATTTTTGCACAAATTTTTGTGGCCCGTTTTTTTTGCGTGTGAGTGTATTTGTATTAATTTAAAATTTTTTATTCGACTTACGCACTTTTTCACTGATTTTTTTTTCACTGGTATTGAATCTATAATGAAAATTGGAAGTCATAATAAAAGAAGAAACTGATTTCTTAAACGCGACCATTAGTACTTTAGTAAAGAATAAAGTAAAAAAGTAATATTTCTGAACATGTAACATCTGCTGTTCTGGTAAATAGCCAGACACGAAAGAGCGTACAGAGTTACATGAAATTTTTAACGATTTAGTCTTGAATTTAGTTTGAACAAAATTATTATTTTAGTAATATTCCGATTCAAAATGTTGTTTGTCTTTTTCCCAGAGTTCTATCAACGTTTTAGATACATCTAAACTTGGGAATCTTTCCATCCATGATTGAATAATCCCCGCGAACGATGGCTTGTAATTTTTCAGTATCACGTTATTAGAATCAAGGTCTAAAAAAATTAGATTTATGAAAATATCATACAAGTATACATGGATAATACAAATATTTAAAGAATAGCAATAATGTATAAGATTTTCTTTGATACAAACCGTCAATAAATGTATTTGATTGAACGAAGATCTTCCTTGGTTCTTTACGAGACAGGATTAAGTCCCTCCAGCTGCCCCATGGGTATGGTCCGTTTTCAGGTACCTCGCTGTATCTATCGTACATTTCCTTAGCTGACTCAAAGTCTCCCATACTCTTATAAACTTGCAGCTTCAGGAGAAAATCTCCGACAGCTTTTTTGCCGACCGTGAAGATTTTGCTTCGATCAACAGTCATACGGAGGTTGGTTCCTTCCTCAGTTTCGACAACATTGACGAAATCCTGGCCCGCTTCCAGGCACACTCTGAGCAGAACATAACGCGCTTGAGAGTGAGCTTGGGACCATGTTTGCGTGGATGGTTGATACATCTCGAAAGCCTTTGCAAAACCACTCCACAGTAGAGATAACCAGTTCACATAGATTATATCCTCCGCTACTTGTCCCTCATGACCGAATATTTTCGTCGTTTCTTTCTCCAAGCTCAAGTAAAGACCGACTGCCTCCGCCCTGCACTCCTCGTACGTGGATCCCAGAGAACCGAATTTAGAATCGTAAGTTTCTCCTTTCAAAAAGAATTTGTCTACTTTACAACCGGTAAGAGGATTTATCACAGTATCATAATCGAAGTTGTACGTGTTCGGTCCCATCTGTTTAAATAATTTACCGGTACCGTGACCGAGAAGCTCGTGAAGACCAACTTGCACCTCAAAGCTAGCTACCCTATACTTATGCATCAACGCCTGATCAGCATCAGATAAAAATGGAATCGCACGAACATCCTTCAAATGAGCAGGTATAACGTTTCCTAACGATACATTTTTAAAGCCTTCAGACTGTCTAATCTCATCATAATTTGGAATGTTTATTCCTGACGGAATACTAGAACCTGCGAACGTTAAAACGTCCAAGGAGGTAAAATCCGGTCTCAAAAATGTGTCCTTCTCGAAATCCTTGTTCCAAGGCAGCTTGGGGATAAATTCCTCGGCTCTGTCGACTAGTGTAGCGAATTTCTCAGACATTTGTCTGTTCACCATCGCTACGAAGCCTTCGAATTCTCCTCGTTGACCCGCGGGATCTCGGTACGTCTCAATAAAGCCGATATAGGATTCGATAGACGGTCCTTTATCCTTTATCCAAAGACGAGAACCATCCTTATGATCGTCTAAAGATCCTGTTTCAAAATGTTCGATGTATTTTTCCAGCATATTTTTTTCAATCTCGTTCGACGCATGCTCCTTGGCTTTCTGGAGATTTTCCACAACAGGCACCAAGAGTTTGCTGTAATCTCCTCTTGTAATTTTAAACTTGGCATTTCCGAATGTTTCCTCAAAGGACAGTGCTATTTTAAGATCTGACGTCTCTACTGATGCTAGTCTGATTTTATACATATTAATATTATCGTTACTTGCGGGATCTTTCACTACTGTCTTGAAGCATCTTGCGTTATAGGATTCTAATCCTTTATATTGCATGAATGCGTTGACTTTGTCAGCATCTTCTTTAATACAGTTTGCAGAGAAATAAGTTGTGATACCTTTGTTACCCAATCCTAATGATTTTAATTTACCCTTTAAGGAAAACATGGGTTCTGATATTTTATTCCATAGATCTTGCATCTCCTTAGAATTAGTCTTGTAAGCTTTCGAAGATTTTATTATTGCCTCAAATAAACCTTTCGGAATATTGGGGATAATTTTAGTATCGCCCATGGCCTTATAGTTGCCTGCATTTGCAAAAATCCCAGAACTGTAAACTAAGAAAGCCTGAAAAATAAAAGGTATTCCGTTGTTAATGCTAACTTAATAATCTGCAAAATTAAAAAATAAAAAAAAGATATATGAAAAGAAGAAAGTTTTTCTTATACCGTAAATTGCTCCTGAGTAACACCAGCGCGTACTGAGGAGTTTTCCAAGTCTTCGAGAGATTCTGAGAGAAATATTTTTTGTAACAGTGCAAATATCAATGGAGATTCCGGCGATGTCTGTATTAATACTATCAATCCTCCATTCCATGCCGCTTGGCTCAAGTAATGAGCGTATAATTTTTCCTTTTGTGTCAAAGATTTGAAGGCTGTGTCACATTCCAGAGCGACAACAGGTTGATCGTTCGGCAATGTATACAAAGTTTTATCTATATCACACATTGTGCACTGTTGCTGTACACTGAAAGAAAAACAAAAATGCTATGGAAATCATCTATTTAAATTATCTGTACAACTATGGCTTAAAATCTTGTAAATTTGTTAATCAATAAATAAGTCCTAAACAATAATCAGTCTGTATTAATTCTGAGATCTATTGCGGATGAATTTTTACCCATATACATTTTGAAAGTTTATTATAATTTTTATTTAATAATACTGTAGTAAGGAAATATAAATACATGTAGTAATACTGTAATTTTTATTTATTACAATTTTGAAAGCTTAAAATAACATTTAACCCTGCTGGTCTGTTTTATTTGGCCCAATACAATTAAAAAACTTTAAAAAATAAAAATTAAATTTTCAAGAAAAAAATCTTGCATTATTGGAGTCATCAAATATCAAGGAAAAAGTTTTTAAACAAAATATTAGCAAGAAAATAAAATATATTTTAGATCAAATAGATCAGTAGAGTTATAAGATTGTTTAACACTAAAGTTCATTTTTTTTACATTAAAATAATGTTAGTTCAGTTTATTTAACATCTTGTAACCAAAGTAGACATAGGAAGTGTAAAAAAATTCTTTTCCATGTGAATGTATTTTCACCTAAAATAATATTAATGTAAAAAAAAAATATAAATTTTTCACCGCTTCTGTACTTCACAGATATAACTTCATTGAGATTAGACCTCAACACAATAGAACAGTACGAAAGATGATCTTTATATATTCATGACATCATTCATGACAATGGAAAAGCGACACAAACAACAATTAAATTCTTTTTTTTATATTTATACTGTGTGGAAAATTGAGTTGGAGAACGAGTTTCAATCTTGGATGTTCAAAAATAAAAAACAACGCGTTATTAATATGATATCACGGTTTGACATAGCTTCGCAAAACAACTTGAGAACTCATAATTTAGATTTCACGAATGTAACGCACCGGGAATACAATCCGGTTGAATCTTGAACGATTTTCGTCTTGTGAGCAATCTTCATAGAACACGGCAATGTGGAATCAGTGGAATACAATTTCTTGCAATTCGCGATTAATCTGAATGCAACCGAAACTCGTGACTTCGACATAATTTTGAACATCTGAAAGGTCACGAATGTTAGACAATTGAAATCAATCACGGTAGCAAAGCAATATGGAATAATCTATTTAATGCCGAATATAAATAAACAGCTTGATTCGTACGTTTCCAATGAAATGCAGCGAATTCTGAATCTTCGAATCTCGAATGATTCGTGATCGTAAGAACAAAGTTATCGATAAAGTAATAATCAGAGTTTTGAGAAATTTTGGGCTATTCACTTACCAAACCAACCAAATAAGAGCGAATATATGTAGAAGTGAGGGAGATTGCAAAAGAAGCTTTCGTCGGAGGCTTTTATCTTAGATGTACTTAGATTGAAAAAGATAAGATAATGATTCGCGCATTATTATAAACGCATACCTGTTACTATGTGAACATTTTTCGAACGTATGTGCCGTGTCTAGATATTCGTAAGTCGCGGTTGTTCGAGATAATGATTGCTTTATCATTGTTTACGTTATTAATTTTTTTTTCTATCTAATAAAATTTCTAAATTATTTAAAATACTTATATTTATGTAGTCTTTATATAATTTATAATAACTGTATAATTTTATATTTATCGATAAACTGGTAAAGTTTTCTATTATCTCTTATAATGATGTTTAATATCTTTATAACAAGAACCGATTCCAGACGCAACGAATTAAATTTGCTTGTTGTCATAAATTATATATTTATTTTACAGAAAATTCCTTTTTTCATAAAAAATCCGTTTCACAAATTTCTGATTAAGTCAAATTAATTAGTTCCAACTGTAAATAATTTTAATCTCGGTTTAACTTACTCTTTATTTTTCTAGCTCTAGATTAGAAGAAATATAGAATACATTAAGTTATTTGACGCCATTCGATGCTAAAAATGAGCATCGAGCAATGGAATAACAATTGACGATAATTCTTGTTTTAGGATTTTCAATACTGAATGTTTGCTGCACTGTGCGTACGTCTAGAACCTTTCTCATTTCAGCGTGGTCAGAATGGTCAGATGTTTGCAGATGTTATGAGAATGCTAAGAATGTGAGCTCGATAGCTGTGTAAACGTCTGTGAATTCTAACATTTCTCACAATCTTTCGTTTTTTATCGTGTTCAATACATTTTAAATATTTGAAGACTTACACTACAGGTAAATAATGGAAAGTGTATATTTATATATATATATATATATACATGAATTAATATTTCATTATAATTATTGAAAAATATGAAAATTTTCTAAGAGTATCATAAATTTTGAAATTATAAAACTCTTCAGTTTAAGTTTTTTAAAAATGAAATTTTTAGATATTGCATCATATATTAATATAATATATTTTTATCTAGATTTGGTGGATCTTGTAATAAATTTGGTAGAGACAGGAAACTCCTATACTTATTATTTAAGTAGTAGTTGATTATTCTATAAAACATGGCACATTACAAAGGAGCAGCCAGCGAAGCTGGCAGAGCCATGCAGCTGATGAAGAAGCGAGAAATTGCACAACAAGAAATAGAATTACGAAAGAAGAAAATAGAAGATGACTTAAAGATTCATAATATAGAAAATAAGTTTGCAACTCATTACAATGCGGTTGAACAACAATTAAAGACTTCCACAATTGGTTTGGTCACATTAAATGAGATGAAAGCAAAGCAGGAAAATATAGTGAAAGAACGGGAGAGGAAGCTTGCTCAGAAGGAACGAGAAAAAGAACAGGAAAAGGAAAGAGCATTAGCGGCAAAACAAGCAGAAAAGAACAAACAGAAAAGACAGATTCAAGCGTTGTCTTTTAATTTAGATGAAGATGAAGACGAAAATGAAGATGAAGCTGAAGCTGAAGCTGAAACTGAAACTGAAACTGAAACTGAAGTTTCTGACAAAAACAATGCAGAAAAATCTATAAAATCAGATGATACTCGATGTAATAAGAAGATTAAAAAAAATCCAGATGTAGATACAAGTTTCTTACCAGAAGACAAGAATGGGCTAGAAAGCAGAATGCATTGAAGGAAGAAGAGATTGAAATCACATTTAGTTATTGGGATGGATCTGGCCATCGTAGAAGTGTTATAATGAAGAAAGGTAAACATCTTAATGTTATTAGAGAATTATAAAATTATAAAAATATGTTTTTCTAAATATGTTAATCTATAATTCTACTTCATGAGTTTATTAAAATATTTCCTTTTTTTCACACACAGGTAATTCTATCTATCAGCTTCTTCAGAGATGTCTGGAAGTCTTGAGACGTGAATTTAGTGAGCTTAAAACAGTAATGGCAGATCAGTTAATGTATGTCAAGGAGGATCTTATATTGCCACATCATTATACATTCTATGATTTTATTGTAACTAAGGTAAAAATATTCAAATAATAAAGCTTACCAAGCAACATAATGTTGATATCTTATTTTAATATGTAATACATTAATGTTGCAATTAGGCACGGCATGATGCTTCTGTTGAAACTGAAGAATCACATGCTGGAAAAGTTTTACTTAGGTATTCATTAATAAAGAAATAGTTCGATTATATTGTATAATTTCTTTCGCATAATTTTTATTTCTTATAATTTATTATCCTTTTTATATTTTTAGATCATGGTACGAGAGGAATAAACACATTTTTCCAGCGAGTAGATGGGAACCCTTTGATCCAACAAAAAGTTATGACAAGTATACGGTATCAGATAAAAACAGGAAGAAAGATAAGATCTGCTAGATTTAGATTCAATAAATTGTTCAACATTGATTAAAGAATTCGAATTCAAAGAAAATATTGTACAATATAATGCTGTCGAATGGCTTTACTTCATCGTAATTAATTCATTACGAGACAGATTGTAAAATATATGTATATATTTTGTAATCATGTTTATTTTAAACGACTGTGATTTTAATTTGTTTAATACTATAGCATTTAGTTTATTTGATTATGTAACTTAATCAAGATATTAAAAGGAAAATATGCGAGACTTTGGGGAAAAATATAAAAAGAAAGTATGAATAGTTTAATGACTTGAATATAATTATAATTAATATGAAAATATACAAAATTATATTTTGATTCGTTTCGATAAAATAATCAGCAATAGTATTAAAATATTGATCCAAGATTAGATTTAACATAGATCTATTTACAATTTCAAACCGAATCATTATCTTAAAGATAATTGTATAAAAATAAATATATTTGATTACATCGATTATAATATCACGTACTATTTGTAGATTTGATACAAGCCGGATCCATGTATGTAATATTTTCAGGAAAATGGTCCATTATAATAAACTTTTTCTCAGTCGATTTGGTGAGACAGTCAAGGAATCCAAACCAATAAATAACAAGCCCGAATCCAAATCTGTTCCAATAACTCAAGAATTGTTCCTTCATATACTTTTGATGAACATCCATGTTACCAAATCGTGCCTTAGATTCAATCCAGTTTATCACATAACCATTCACCGCGATCGGTACTTCCAATTTAAAATCTGGAGTCTTGTCGTAGCCTCGTAATCGTAAGTGCTCTTCGTTACGAAATGCAATATTTCTTTGTATTAAACAATCTTGAAGCTTAATTTCATATTCTTGTCCTATGCATCTGAAAATATATTTCTCTCTTGTGTAAATTTTGTAATTTGTTAATTTGTTTTATTTTTTCATAATTTTATGTCAAAAAAATTGAGAAACAGAAAGTATCAGAGCATTTAATAAAAATTAAAAAATTAAGTTTTCTAAGAAACACTCTTTGTTAAATATTGTTTCTTTTACTTTCCTTACAAGGACAAAGAATTTTACTCGATAAATGTCTATAATATTAGAAAATGCAATATAAACGTAAAGTCTGTTAACAGATGTAATGAAGGACACTTACATTCCCATTGCATCAGCTATAGGTCCATACAGATCATCGTATAATGTACACTATAAAAAGAAAATAGTGAGTTTTTTTTCCAAGATATATAAATTAATAATCAATATGTGGATTAATTTACATCATAATTAGATACATTAAATTAATAATCAAGATATGTAATTTCTTCTTATAAAACATTATATATCTTCTTAGATTAATTACCAAATAAATTTCGTACGCGAGATCCTTATCATCAATCAGTGTAGTATCCTTAAATAGTTTGGAAATTAGAGTCTTTGAAACTGAAATAAAATTTTACATGTCTTTAGAGTCCAAAAAGCCTTAAAATTAATTATCCTGTCATTCTATTAATCATTGATTATTAAGAATTACCATTTGCATTCTCGCGCATACAGTATTTTTCTAAAATGTTACGCGCTAATAGAGCTGGTGCAGCATCAATATCTTTTGCTATCCTCAGTAGAATGCCTACTGGTTCACCATTCTGCACTGCTTCCAAGTAACTAGGATTTAAAAACAGTGAATTAAAAATAATTGGATTTAAAAAAGTAAATTTTTTCTGATATATGTATAATCTTATGATGATTTTAAAGCCATTTTACCTGTCATAATAATTTTTATTGTTTCCAAACAGTCTGACGTGATTGTTCTTCATTTTCTGTTGTATTTCTAACGATAAGATGCTGTATAGCGTGTTTGGGTGGATGCTATGTAAGAATAAAAAATCTCATAAGTATTTTAAATAATTCCAAATCGATTAAAAATATGAGAATACATAATTATATTAGATCGGCAAGTTTTTAGAGAGTTTCTAAAGAATATTAATTAATCAGCAAATTATTTAATTTTACTACTTAACCTTCAGAATTAATGTCTTAATAAAAAGAGGAATTCTTACTCGTTAAATTTCTCCTTTAACACTTTGGCACAATCTCTCGACAGGCCTCGAAAATTACGAATTGTCATCATTATTTCATTATACATTTCGGTCTTCATTGTTTAAGATTGTTTACATCGATTATCATAACCTCACTGAAATGCTCCTGTTGTCATGCGCCTTGACATGTGACATGACAAACATTTCGCGCATGCGCAGCGGAGTAGCGATAATGCAGACGCATCATAAATAAAATTACTTTTACTAAAATAAAAAATAAGTAGGGACAACGAATGTAGTCAGAAATTTTGCTGTAAGGAATCCTGTTAATTAAATTAATTATGAATTAATTTAATCCTTTCATGGTTGGATCTATGGAGTCCCTATATTATATTTTAATATTCATGTGTTTGCAATAATACAACGCAATAATATGCACAATTCATAATATACAAATTTATTAAAAACCAAATTCTACGTGATACAATAAATGCGTGATACAATAGAAAAATGTCATTTTTTTGGGAAAATAAACAAAATGTAATAAATAAAAAAATTTTTTCAGATTTTTAAACTTTGTTTTTCTATTTTTCTTAAAGTAGGGAAACTTACTTTTGGATTAATTCTTGTATAAGATCATTTAGCACAATCCCAGGTGAGCTGGATCGACAAGAGTAAATTTTTCGATGCACTCAATAAGCCATACTAACGGCAGACTTTTGATATGTGGCATATTATATTTAATAAGCGGTTCACCTGTCTTTCTACCTGGCACATATATAATATAATGTGTACATTTGTGTAAAGGATGAGATGAATCATTCGCGGTATGGAAAGGTATCACTCGTGACATATCTTTTAGATCTTCTGGATCTGGTTTTCTAGTGAGTACTGTTCCTTCTCCTTCCTTTACAAGTTTTATCAGATTATCCTTAGTAAATTCTACGTTAGCAATATAATAAGTTGTATTTGCTTGCAAAGCAAAATAAAAGAAACAATTATTGAATAGACGTGGATTTTGATATTCACTGTTTAGTCTCGCTTTCCTCGGGATACCAGGAGTGGGCGCGCCGTTAACTTCAAACAATTCGAGATCCATATTAGCTATTTCATCCATATCTTCTGCCAGTTGGATCCCTTTAAATGGTAATTCTTTCTAAATATTAATTTTGTATCGCTTAAATTTTTATTTAGACATAACAATTTTACATAAATATAATTGTTATTGCAATATATTTGAGCAAACAATTCACAGCATAAAATTCATTATAAGCATATTTTATCTTACACTCGCTATTGAGAAGCCAATTCCCACAAACAATTGAAAATAAGACGTCAAGTGTCAATGTTGTAATATTTTTCTCATTTGTCTCTACTATGACATGTGTAACAGATGGTCTGAAATAAGTTGATTATATTACACTCGTTTGCATTTTCTTGTAAAAAGAAAAACCAATACAATAAAATAATATCTAAAAAGAATAAATATGTACCTATATGTTGTCAAAATTTTAAATTTATGTCTTGCGGCCACGAGACGGAGTGATTTCTGATTTACAAGTTTTAAATTTGACGCAAGAATCACAAATTTGTCACATCCTGTACGAATAGATTTATCTAGAGTTTGATTAAGATCTGATACCTTTTCTGACGGAGTTCTAGGTAAATCCATCAGAAGTTGTCGCATCTTTTCTGATTTACAGTAGTCTCTACATGGTCACATTAAAAGATTATGTAATAAAATTATCTTTAGTAAATATTCTTTGCGGATACAATAAAATATCTACATACATAGGCTTTTTGCCATATTGATCACATTGATTTCTGTCTGCATTATAATGCAACAACAACTTAGCTTCTTCAATTCTGTTACACTTAGCAGCTTCGTGTAGTGGACTTCGATTCTTAAAACCTGATATATCGGGTAAAGCTTCACAATTCAATAGCAACTTACATATTTCAGTATATCCAAAACTGACCGTTTCTTGCTGAAATATTATATAGAATAATATATATAATCTACATTTGACAAGTTTGTAAAAAACATATTGATGTATTTCTTTTTTACCAATGGTGTCCAACCAGCATTATCTTTTGTATTAGGATTTGCACCAAGCAACAAGAGATGTTTAACTTGTTCAGCATTTTTCTATAAAATAATCGTCTCTTGAAGCTTTTTTAGAAAAGTTAAAATTATCTTTTAATGTACATAGCAGGGTTGGTAAAAGAAAATGTTAAAAAAAACATAACATGTGTTTTTTTTTAATGTATTTTTAATGTTTGAATATGTTTTAAAGTCTAATCTATAATATGCTTTTTGTTTTGTTTCTTGCTTCTTACTCATTTTTTTATTTTTTACCTTTTTGCCTCTTATTTAGTTTTTTCATTTTCTGTTGCCTGAGATAAAAATCAACAAACTTCGAAAGAGACACGAAACATGTCGAAAAAGAAACATTGTCGATAAGACTGTTACAAAAAAGGAAAAAAACACAAGATAAAAAGCAAAAAACAGAATACATTGCAGATTAAACCAAGTATTAAAAGAAACATGCTTGAAATATATTTAAAATATCGATTAAACATGTTTTAAAACATGTTTTTTAGTAACCTTGTTATATAATACTTGAGATGTAATAATTTAATTAAGGTATTATAAATTATATTTTTAAACAAAGCAAAGGAGTATAGTAAAAACAGTATTAGTATTTCATATCTATACCTGCAAGCATGCTCTATGTAATGGTGTTTCTCCTTTGGGATTTCGTTTATTTATATTTCTCATAGGTGTATAACCCTGTTTCTTTGGTGTAAGAAGTATTGCAGATATTGTATTGTCCATTGATATATTAGATGCATCAGTAGTAATGTCCCATATATTTCTAAAATAATTTATTTTTACATTGTTATTTATGTAGTTTTATTTAACAAACCTCTAACCTTTTATGAATAATTTCTGCAATAACATCGCAATTTTGTATAAGACTGGATACTAAATGATCAGGTTTTATTTCATTTGGTTGCACTGGTACATCACATCTAATACATTTCGTTGCAGATTTGATACAATTATGACAAAAGAAATGCCCACAATTTATGAGCCTTACAGGAGAAACTGGTTTTGACCTACTGTATAAAAAAGAGTAATCATATTATATAAAGCATGTATAAAATAATAATAATAATATTAGATACGAGCATTACATATATACAAATATAAAATAATAAATACAATATGTGTATATA